ACGACACTACGACTACGACACACACACACACACACACACACACACACACACACACACACACACACACACACACACACACACAAGTACATTTCACATGATGCACATGAAATGCTCTTTACTGAGAAATGTTTTCTTTCCACTCATCTAATGGCTCTTCTCACATCACTTAAGGTTTGCAGTATTTTTCAAAAGTCTGTTCATGTTATTGCTTTCTTTATTGTTGCTCCAAAACCTATTGATGAAGGTTTTCGAGGTCACTTGTGGCATTTAGCTTTCAGAAGTAGTTTCTCAAGTTACTTTTTTTCTTTTAATTTTGTCTTTCAGTCTCTTACACAACATATGTATTGATTCATATTATTTGTCTGCTCTTTTTCAGGGTGAAGTTGGCCTTCCTGGTCCGCCTGGTCCTGTAAGTACACTGTAAAACCCACCTTACAGAATATCATACATTGTCAGTTAGTATGACATGTTATGTATGTTTTGTCATAAGACACACCAAACTATGTTACATGGCTGTCCCAAAAATCTATTTTGTAATATTAGCGCTTTGTTCTCTGCAAATAAAAACAAGAAAAATGCATCTGTGCATCATGGTGTGTTTCACATTCTACAATTTGAAGGGGGAGCTCAAAGCAATAGCAGTGCTGTGTTTATGCTGTCACTCCTCACACCTGGAGCCATGTCACCTTGTAACCAATTCCCATTATTTGACTTACCTGCAGATTTCCTCTCTATCTTGAATTGAGTTCTAAAAAAATCCTATATTCCCCCATCTTCAAAAACGGGAGATTGGTATTGATAAAATGCATGCAACATGGGCAGTCGTTTTAAGGCAGATGAGATTATAGTTGTGTTGAATTTCACCCAGGAAGAACTTCTTTTTAGGTAATGAACTTACTGATATTTTTGGCAGCAAGCTCCCAGGGAGTCTATGCAATGCACACAGCAAAGAAATATACACAACATAGCTATACCCATTCACTGAAAGCTGTGAACGATAATTTCCTTCTCCTCTCTTGTATCAAAAAACACATTTGCACTAGCCATCGCCAACTGATATGCTAATATTTTGCTTGAAAAAAAATCAATGAGGGCCATCAGGATATGACCTGTTTATAATGTCCATAATTGTAGATAGTAAAAAGATTCATCTTGGAAGTCACCAGTGCTGCTTTCAGTAGAGAAACGCATAAAAAAAGAAGCCCTGATGTCATGTGGTGTGTCTGATGCTGAAGGTGACACTTGCTCAGACATTTTCAGCAAAAACAAACTGTGACAAATCAGTGAAAGATCTGTAATGTTGCACTTGCAACTATGACACCTTTTTAAAATAAAATAGAAATTAAAGTATAATTGGTGTCAAATAAAAACATTTAGTTTGATCTCACGTATCACATAGTCAGGGGTTTGACATTTATATGACTCTGTCCTAATGGATTTTTATTCAAAATACTTCCTGCCTACTGAGCCTCCGAAGGCTTCACACATGAGCTGGGAAACAAACTTTGATGGCTTTCATTCTTATTCTCATTCTCGTTGCTTGTTAGCAAGCAATTCATATGGAAATGTGACAACTTAATTATACTGCGAACAAATATCACTCACCCTCCACTGATTTCATTGGTTTCTGTCTACCAAACAAAAAGTCTGCTCGCCTAATAAGAATAGATATCAACGTGGGCGGTTTTAATGGCTGTTCAAAAACATTGAGGTTTTTGCTTTGCAATTATTTTGGAATAGCCATCTCTCTTTTTTCCCTAAATTTCACTTCAACTGGGGAAGCAAGATAAAGAAAAGTTCCATCAAAACGTAAATACTCAGTGGTGTTCGTTGTTGTGCGGTGAGGCATGGACCACCCAGGATATAGGAGATGTATACAGTACTATGGCAGAGGAGGAAACATTAGTCATTTGATAAATGAGGCTGTTTGAATATTTAGTACCAGTCTCTGTCTGTGCTCTCTGCTTCCCCGTGGCAGATCATTTTGGCAGTTAAGCATTGATTTCCCTTACACAGCAGAAGCGAGGGTTTGGATCATTACCCTCCCTTCATAAACCTTCTTGTGCCTCTGTTTATTAGTGACGGGGAGGAGCGGCGGGCTTACAGCCATGCACAGCCACCCCCTCCCCCAACATCCTTAAAGTGGCAAAACGCTCTTTTCATCTCCGAGATTGTCCTGTTTTTATTGCTGCCCGGGTTGCTTTACAATATGTTTTATAATCTAGTCAAGTGAATCTGTTTTTCCAAGTTATTTTGAGTAAAATGTTCTATGCATATTTCACTTCTCTGGCGAAAGGCTCTGGCAGAAGTGTCTTATCTGGTCTCATACTGATGGAACTGGCTTTAGAATCGGAGGCAAGAAAAAACTGTCAGCAGCTGTTTTTGTGAGTGACTGCAGGTTGAAGGTTGAGTGATAATGCAGTCAGTCCGCTGGGGCACTCAGGGATTCAGGACCTTACTGAAGGTTATTTTGACTATTGCTGCGGAAGGAGGGCTTCGTGTCAAGTTTATTTGTGTAGCTCTTAATCACAGTAACACTCTCAAAGGGCTCACTGGCACACATTATTCCTAAAACAAGGGCACCAGCACAGATGGACAAAGAAAAACATGACACGAGGGCACCAATGTGTCTGGAGAAGAAGTTTGGCGTTCAAAACGTGATTGGTGTGATTCATTAAATATATTTTCAATGGAGCATTATCTAGCATGCAGACTCTATTTTTCCAGCACCAACATTTGGATGTATTTCAGTATGATCATTGCTTCTCTCACTTCTTTTATTATTATGCCTAAACAACCCAAGACTGAACTGGTTATAACTGCACATGGTGGTGAAACATGTGGTTAACCAAACACAAAGGGCCTTAGGAGATTTAGATGTAAATGAGTTCTGATGATTATAGATTGTAATGAAGATGGATAATTAGATTTGCTCTCTAAATTGCTTTGCTCAGTTTTTTAATACAATGGACTTCAATCACCGGCCTCACATTTGAAACCTTTTTTGCAGTTAACACCAACATTTCAGTGTCCATCAAACCCAGATTGTATCTAGAGGTGTCTGTGCCACCTGCTATTAACATATTTCCATTGTGAACAGTTTAACTGTAACACATTTTTTTCTCAGCACTATTCCACCACTTCCTGGTGTGGGCGTGCTTTAAAAAAAGATGAAGATGGCCATTTTTAAAACAGCCGTTTAGAGACAACTTCCTTTTTCAATTTTGTGGACAAGAACGCTAGATAGCAGAAATGCAGTTGTGTCCAGTGTGGTCAGTATTTTGCTATTGAACAGAAATGAGTCCTCAGTGAGACCTGGATGTTTTTAAACCTGGAATATAATTTGATCAAGATCTATTAGAATATATTCTGATCTGCTGTGAAATTAACACCAGGATTCGGAATTTCATATTAATCAGTATACAGAATGATATAAGGGTAAAGAGGTTTTGTCGAAAAACTTTTTTGTTTTGGATTACATTTAGAAATGGCTCCTATTCACATGTTATAGTACTAGGTGTCAGTCTGCCTCAGCTGGTACCTCTTGACCTTTTACCGTTCCAATGCATTTCATTTTGTTATAATAGCCTCTGCCCCGTGGCTTTAGATTCCACATTCTTAGCTAGTCTATCTATCGATTTATTATACATTTGCAATCACTTTGATTTTTGTTGAGTATTTTTACAAGAAATCAACAGCTTTTACTTGAATGGAGATCGGTGGATCACAGTGTAGGTAACGCTGTGTCTTTTTCATTACTTCTAGGTGATGACAGCTCACGGATTAAGACTGCTCTCTGCAACTGTGAGCAGCTTTTTATATCAGAACACATGTTGGTATTTCCCTGCGGTCCCTTTACAGTCGGAATCTGAAGTGGTTTGTTTTTTCTTTTTTTTAAGGATGAAATGAAGGAGGAGAAAAAGGAAAAGGGGGATCAGGTAAATATATCCCTCTTTGATATTTTCTATACAATTGAATCATACAAATCTCATTATAGAGTTTCAGTGTATCCAACATTTTGTGATAAGATGTGTATTGATTTTATTAAACATGTTTATAGATTAACACCAACAAAGGGCTGCTGTCAGGCAAACCAGCCATACTCATATTTCAATGAAGAATTATCATTTAAAAACAAAACAAATGAAGAACATGGTACATCGTTTTTCACAATCTCTTATAGAAATGACGAGAGAGTTCCAAAATCTAAATCCATATGCAAAGATCTGCCTGAAACTCCCTATATGTCAAAGTGTCTAGCTTTCATCCGAAATAATTGACATGTTAGCAGAACCGAAAGACAAATATATATATATACTGAACGCTGATGATTCGGGTGTCTTGAAGATATATCGAACTTGTTGAACTATGTTATTTATTGACAAATCGTTTTATTCATTTTTTTTCCAGCATTTGACACCACAGCAGATGCTTTTTCCCAGTTTATTTGATTAAATCAACAAAATAAGTTGACATTTCATTTTGAAGGAACAATTGAACATCACCTGCTGTGCAGATGAGTTCAAAACAACAAATGCATCTACTTAAATCATTCGGATTACAAAGGCCACTGATTCAGCTATCGACCAAACAACATAAGGCTCCTTGCATAGAAAGACTCCTTGAATAGAAAGAACAAATAGATATTACAATTTGCAAATGATTGAATAATTACTTAATTTTAGACAAAAGCAAGAACTCATGTTTACCATGTAAGTGGTGGAGTATAAAGGAAAAAGCACAATAATGCTCTACCTTAGAGGTAATTAAAAAAGTTACTGCTTTCATTGTATTCACATTATTAGAAGAGAGAAGCAAACTTAACAAAGGAAACTTTTCTCCACCTTCACACAATATAAAAGATAACTTCATGAAGGTCCTTTTCTTTTTTTGCCTTACCCCAGCGAGCAAAAAGACTTACTTGACAATTTTCTTTTTGCACATCTTGAGAAATGATGGTTGTCTATCTCCTTTACTTTCGACAGGGGGAGAGAGGAGCTCAAGGGCCACAAGGCTTCAAGGTAAATTGTTGAAGACTTCGAGCTTTCACTAGAACTTGAGAATCAATACCCACCTCCAATAGAATAAGGCAGAGAAGTCCTTTAAGTCCATTGAGTATCACTGTGTGGTGCCCTCCGCGATGTCACAACAGTGGACGTCTTTGAGGAGTTTATATATTGTTGATCTTTTTTATTGCAGAAAATCTTATTTCTTGGACATACAGTGAGCCCTGAGCTCGACAACAGCACAACACACCAGAGATAATATATATATCCAGTTTGTTGCTTTTGAACACCTGTCTGAAAGACTAGCATTTGTAGCGACACACCACAGTAATTATCTTCCACTTGCGACTGAAGTGGACCTTTACTCCTTCTTGTTGACCTGTATGCCTCACCAAACTTTTATATCTGGAATTCAGATATTTTACTGTGACAGGCCTGATGTTTTTTCCCCTCCATTGTACCGCCCTTCCCTAAAACTGGATCTCACTCACACTTTGTTGTTCCTGTGACAGGGAAACGTCGGTCCACCGGGATTGAAAGGAGACCAGGGGCCAGAGGTGAGACTTTGTATTTATCTCAATGTCGGCTGTGCCACTTACAGTAAGTCAAATGGAGAAGAATAGAAATCCTGCTGAACATAAACAACAGTGAGATGAGGGCACCCTAAGTGGAGGTCATAAATAGAACTGGGGGGAAATGTAAACATCCCATGCATCCTTTTTTGGCACTCGTTTGTCCAAGATAATGGGATATGCGCGAGTGTAAAATGAAGATGAATGCAAACAAATGATTATATATTACATTTTTAACAACGCTTAGTTTCCACAAGTACACCAACTCATCAAAATACATCAAATTAAGAACATTTTCAATTAAGGATGCTAGAATTTGCTTTGAACATAATAATGCAAATCTCTTTCTTATCTAAATAATCAAAAGCTAGGCATAGAAAGCTGCCTGGTACCGATTCTTGTGTTCCCTCTAACTCAGTTATTATTGTTCAACATAAGCTCAGTTACCATGGTAATATGTGACTTTTTTAGCTCGTTAAGAGATAAAGAGTTGTAAAGGCGATTGCCCATAAAAAGCTTATCTGTATAAGCATAACGGGGTATAAGCGTGTATTTCAAAACACATGCATGTGAGAAAACTTACCGCCGCCCAGTAATGACGATATCCTCTGCATACAGCACAGTAATTCCCATGAAACTTTCCATGGTTTATTAAAAAGGTGGCATGGGGGACACTTAAACAACACTGCTTATTAAAATACTCTCGAAAGTCGTGTCCACAGTGTAGCTGACTGGGATGTAACATTTGAGAGGCCAGGCAATTTTCTCACCAAACAAAAGGAGAATATATCTCTAAGTATTGGTTTTCCTCTGTGTTTTGCCAGGGCAAGCAAGGCCTGTCTGGACTCCCAGGACTCCCGGGCGAGGCAGTAAGTATATTGGCTCTCGACACACCGAGCACTTCATGTCAACCTTTTCTTTCTTTCATTGCCTTATCTGTCGCCTTGCCATATCCTCTTCTCTCTAACTCAGCCTGCCAAAGTGAAAGATAGAGATAAACAGATAAACCTCAACAGGCAGAGACAGAGAGGAAGTCGGGAGAGAAGTCCAGAATTTTTACACAGACGATCAGTAATCAAATTTAAGAATTAATTAGTGGAAAGAGGCAAATCTAACTGCTTTATGCCAGGAACGGAGGCAGAGGCTCAATCTGTTCTCCACACCTGCTTCCGTAATGAGCATCTGTCTTTACTCAAAAGCAGGGAGGGAAAAGAGGCATTTCATAAATCCTGGCTAAGGGAAATTATGTTGGAACACGGCAGCCCGCTGAAGCAGTGAGGAGGAGGAGATAAATGTGTGAGAGTAGATGAAGGCCTGGTGATAGATGTGTCTCTTTTCCCCACTATTTACAGGGCTCGTCAGGGGAGTCCGGGGTGTCTGGTAAAGATGGCCTGAAAGGAGAAAAGGTAGGTAAACTTCAAATCAAGTTCCCCCCTTGAAAAGACAAATATGTAGCTAAGATCCTTTATCACAGGGTGAGCATGTGAGACACTGTTTTAATACACCTTTCAAATGACGCCACGCCTGCCATTCTCAATCATGTCACTTTTGGCAACTAATGCCTCAAACTACTGTTTATTATTTATAATATTATGTACATACATAAATTATTTCAGTAAGATGTGTTTAAAATACTATGCTGATAGAGAGAAAGTGTGCAATTGACATGCATATGGGGATTGTCACTTGTCAAAATAAAACTCACTCTGGTTCACTCAAGGGCAGAGAGATGAATCCTAAAGTTCTTCCCCCTCCTACAGTAATTCACATCTTCGGTGCCATCTCTGCTGTAGTGAACATTCTTGTGGTAGTCTATAAATAAATATGGAAAAGCAAACAATGTCTGTACGCTAAATATGAAGCTGGAGCCAGGAGACCATAACTTAGCCTGAAAGCATAACAGAAATATGTCTAACAGGCTTTGTTCTTCTCTTAGGCACAGTGGTGTTTTAAACTCAATGCTAATGGCAGCATGCTAACATGCTTACGGTGACAATAAATAAAAGACAATGTTAAACATGTTCAGTGTTGTAGTTTAGTACAGCTGAGGCTGATGGGAATGCCTTCAGCTGTTCTAGCAGTTTATTGGTAGTATTGAAGTATTGGGCAAGTTGACATTTTGACCTCACTGCTGCTAAAAAGTCAAAGTATAACCAAAGTCTGTAGAATTCCTCCTCAGGGGGACTTTAAATATGTATACAAAATGTATTGCAATCCATTTAAGACTAGACCAGAATTGGATGAACAACTGACTGCTAACATTGCTAAAAGACAAGACACTAAGGCATTAGTGGTAATATTTCTAGTTCACTTTTTGAGGCGGGAAACAGAAAGCAGACGTTGCTAATTTGGTCTTGTGGACAGCAATTTCTACTCTACGAACTTGATGGTTTTGTTAGGCTCCATGCAGTGCCAAACGCTGTCCCCTGTAACAAACAGTGATAATGTATCCATTCATGTGCGACATCATTTTGCTAAATGGCGTGTTCCATGGCTACACCCACCAGACTCTTCATTGTTCAGCTCCCTGTGTGTAATTCAGAATATGCTTAGCTCAATACTGTCTTTCTGTTTGTAGGGGGACTCTGGTGCAGTGATGGGGCTTCCAGGCCCTAAGGGGGAGCCTGGAGGAGGGTATATGGTGGGTACCATATCAAGTTTAAAAAACTGACTGTCTTCTGACCTTGTTGCGTTCAGCCTTCGAGTCTCAGGAGGCAAAAGTGTAAAACCGTAAAACAACAACCCAACAGAAATTCAAAAAACAAAGATCATTTGCAAACAGCTAGACATTAGCAGACAGAGTAGAATAAACTAGCTCCTCTAGCTGTATAGCTGCTATGACATTAGGGAGATGCAATGCCATTAGGTAATCCACCACCGGATAACCCCAGCCTGGGTAATCACCTATCCTCCCACTTTGGAGCTTATTGCTGTTGAAGCACTCTCTTTTATGGACACGGCTTTGCATATAGAAATGTTCATTATAATGTCCCCAAAACCTCAGCGTCAGTCCTAGTTGAGGACGCTTGCACTCCTCAATCACTGGCAAGTGCTCTATGGCTTTAAACAATCATGTTTGTTTGTGTGTGTGTGTGTGTAAACGCTGAAGACAACATTAAGCCGGACTTCAGAGGTACTCATCAAGCAAGGGCTAGTGAGTTCACTTGAGCGGAGTAATAAGGGAAAGATGCGTTGAGACAGAAGTATTCAAACCTCTTTAATGTAATCCAGCACTGTGGACATTGGAGCTGGATTGGAGAAGAGGGCAATAACATGTGTGAAGGTTCAAGGAGGACATTTTTACAGCATGCCAATGACCTCCTGTCGTTTATTAGTTCAAAAACTGAACAAATGCAACAGTTTATCATTTAAAACTGACTTCCTGGGCAAATGGGATTCTTAACATTTTATGGTCTTTGTATATAAGACAAAGCAAATAGAAAAAAAGCAATAAACACTTGTCATTGCTGATGGTCTGGGGTACTTTAATGAGTCAGCACGCTCAAGAAGGTAACATCACTTTAATGAATTTGCCTTCAAATTAACAATGAGCAATTTGGTCTATGTTGTGTTTGACTTTTATTATTCTATTCTGAAGTTGTGATATAAAGGTTTTTTTCAGTGCAGTGTAAGTGCATAATGTCTAGTGGAACTGGAACAAAGAGAAAATGCAGTCTTAAGATCATAGTATCAGTCTCAAAAAGTTCTCCACTTCCCAAACTTTCTGAAGGAATTGGTACATTTCACCCTGAAACTGGAGAACTGCTGTGATAGTTCAAACTTCTCCACGGCTAATTTACATTGTGCAATGTAGGACTTGAAACACTAATACATGCTGACCACAGAAATCAATGTCTCATCCGAACTGTATACAGTAAATAATGCTTACAGTAGCCCTGATTCCAATCAAGGTTTTCTCTGTGGTATAGCATTATCAGTTTGGCTCTGTAAACAGAAACGATGTGTTGTAAACAGCAGAACATGAGCTCACAATGCGACACTGTGTTCAGACTGCTCACAGTGTGGAGCGTAGCCCTCATACAGATTTCATATTACTGTTTAAACTCACTCACAGCACTGGAGCAGCTTTTTGTGGGTTGCACCTCGGGTCTCAAAGTGAATAGCTGATGAAGGTGCAGCGAATATCTATTCTGATGTCTTCTTCCTGTTGTTTTTCAGGGCGATGGGTTGTCTCTAAGCAGAGGGTCTCGCGGGCCCAAGGTAGGAAGCACTTTGGTGGTGAAGCCTTACTAACACTACCTAAATCTTGACTGCTAACAATATTAACTTCTGCAGATAGTAAGATAGAAGTCAAACACTAATATGTTCAGGTACAGTTAATGTCAGTGGTTTATTGTCAGACTCTACCCAACAGCCTTTTCAAATATACTCAAGCACTAAGGACACCATCCATTATCTTCTTCTGAATTTATTTTAAATTGGATGTTTTTTCAAGTTAGTCTCAACGACTTTCATTTAAAAGTACATCTTTCTCATTTTTAAACCGCTTTGTTGCTAGTAAGAACACATAAATGATGTTTGGCCTCCCTTGCCTGTAAAGCTCTGCTGGATGACACAAAAATATCACAGGCATTTTAAATCCGGAGCCCCGGGTGCTGGTTACATAAATGGGAGCCAAACATTGTTCAGTTGCACATGTGTCGACTAGTTGAAGCTGGTTGAAAATTGAAATATGTTTAATTTAAAATGGCCTCATGGTCTCACTTTCCAAAGCCCAAAGAGGGGACAGAATGGTGATAGAGCCTATCGCCCACGGATTAAACACCTTGCATTTGCAAAATTACAAACAAGGTGATAATCCCAGAAAATCTCTCTCTTGGATCTCTGAGAGTGAGACCTATAAACACAGCTACAGTTACTGCTTATCGCCATATGTGCTGTAGGAAGCAAAACAGAGATCTACGAGATTATAACTAACTCTGAGCTGAGATTTTTAGCCTACAGTAATGTTTCATTGACTTTGTATTTGTCAATGTTTAGGTAGTTTGGTGGTGATCGCTTTTGTCCCATCACACGAGGTGGTTGAATTGGGTGTTTTATCCATTACTTTTAGCATTTATGTTCACTGTTTATCTATTACTTTCATCTACATATTTAGGTCTCAACTACAATTAGTTTTCACAAAACCAAAAAAGCCAACCTACTTTATGTACTATATATTTACTGTTATATTTGTAAAGATCTCAAACTTTTTGAATGATATCATATTGAGTTTTCAAGCAGGCTTGTAAAATAATGTACTCAAGAGATCCTAAGTTTCAAATACATGTAAACATACTGTGTATCCCAAGACAGAGAAATCTTATACATAATTAACATGATCATGTCATGGCCTTGGATACAGTCATGTTTCTTTCTGTTGAAGATGCTGAAGGCGAAACATAAATGGATATGACTTCTGACAGAGTTTAAATAGTTTATGATCATGCAGCGCTGCAGCTCTCCATGACTTCTGGATTCTTTATCACTGTCTGCTCCCTTGTATTTGTCTCAGGGTGAGAGAGGTGTCCCAGGATTGTCCGGAGAACATGGAGACAAAGGCGAACCTGGAGAGACTATCATAGGTTCACCTGTGAGTATGATGTCGTCTGACCTGTGTCTCCCACATTCAGCACAGTTCAAGCTATCTTACCTTGAGATTCTCAGACATTTACCGAAAGAGATCGTTTTAGTATACCGAGATCAATGTTCATTAAATACAGTCTGAGATGAAAACTCTGGTCAATACTGGGAGGTAGAGCCGTGTTGCCCTCTGCTTTCGTTATATGTTCTCTGCACCGTTAGTTTGAACCTCACATAGGTTTGATTGTGAGTGAGTCTTCTTTCATTTTTGGAATGAAGGATTGTTCGAGACAGAGAATCAATAGAGCAGAAGGTGTCTAACACAATTCCTTTATTGGATCCTGGGTGCTACAGGGCAGATAGTGTTAACAAGATGTGTGATGTGTTCTTAGGGCCTCATGGGATCTTCTGGAAAGCCGGGAATTGAGGTATGTGGAAAACTCTGTGAATCCATAACACAAACAATATGATTTTCAGCTTGTTAATGCTGTGGCGCCTGCAGAGTTTCAATGATTTTACAATACAAATAACACTGCACTGGTTATAGTTGTTATCTGGTTCTATAAAGCAAGATTGACAATGTCTGGGGTTTTTCTCAGGGCCTTCGTGGACTCCAAGGTTTATCTGGCCTTCCTGGAGTTCCAGGCAGAGAGGTAAGTGGGATCAGTCAGTCCTTCCACTCTTATTCACCCCCCTTACATATGAGCAGATAAAAGTTATGTCACGTGTGATGTATCACAGCTCCAGGACACAAATCCCCACCAACTGGCACGGGAGCAGAGCTACAGCTGTGCGTGTGCACTTGATGTCATAGCTAGGAGGATTGTTGACTCCTTTCTTTGTCTCAATTCAAGGGCTCCCCTGGTAGGCCAGGCCCCCCCGGCCCTGCTGGACCCCCAGGTGAACCAGTAAGTGGAAACAAATCTCCTTCTGCAGCATCAGTGATCTGCAGTGAGAACTACTGAGCTACATTTCAAAGTCACTATTCACAATGCAGCTCCAGTTTGAAGATAATTAGCAGCTCATCCTGCTGTTCACTAACCAACATCAGTCTCAAGAAAATGATGCAGTTTACGACAAATTGGCAGCCCCCTGTTGCTAGCACATGTTCTCATCTCTTCCTCGCCTTTTTATGTTTCAAGTAAGCAACAATAACCATATATCTGAAAGCTGGAGGAGTGTTTTTTGCTGCTGCTTCAAAGCCTTGTAATTTTAGTATTTTAAAGTATTTTAAATTCATCCACCGTAAACACCCATGATACCCATTTATTGTCCGCTTACTTTTTTTCAAAAATACACTGGCTGCAAATCAAAATGCTTTTCTCAGCTCCAGAGGACAACAATATTTTGAAGACACGTTCCAGCAATAAAATGATTAAACTGTTTCGTCAAGCGTTGCAGATAAAAAATGAAAATGACAAACTGAAACAGGACTTTGTGGCAAAGTGACATTCCTTAAAGGCATTTAAGATGCTCTAACAGATTGACGTGTTGACCAATTTAGTAGATGCAGTTCCACCAAACAAACAGCTGAATTTTTTTTCTGACTGTGACAATGTTTCATGCATTTATTTTCTCCTTCTTTATTTGACAGACTGCCCTGCCAATTGTTGGAGACATGGGAGCATTACTCAAGGTAATTTCCCCTAATAGTTAATGATAATTACAGCTTTTCATAACCAACAACATGCTTACACTGGCCTGGTTTTGTTGTTTAAAATCAAAATGTTTCATTATTTGAAATAGTACTATAGGAATTGATGCTGTCATTTAAGAGATATAGTAAAAGCCCTCGAGTGCCTCCATCAGGATGACTGGGAGAAGTCTGAAAAATAACAGGCATTCACCACAGGTGCACATACAGTGTGACATCTTGATAATAAAGTCAGTTAAATAATAAACATTGCATGCAAAACACTTTAATACAGAGAATACTTTATCAGAATGATGTTAAACTGCTCTGCAGATATGCAAATATACTATAGTTAGATATGCAGAGATAATGCTTATGTGGCAATTTTTCTCCTAACACATGAAGAGTGATAAGGGATTGCATATTAGTTCATTTCACAGCCATCATGCCGAGTAAAAAAAAGATTACAGTATGTGATAAATTGGTGTTAATTATAAAATGTGTTTCTTTGCCCGAGGATCTGCATGCATAAAAAACGCTAACACCTAAACACATCATTTAGGAGAAGAAAACTGCACCATGATAATAGTGCACTAATCAGAGTTAATGGGGCAGCACTAACAACATGTCCGTTATAACCATATAACCCTAACCAATGCAGATAAAAACACAAATGCTAAATCATCTGTGTGTCCATTGCTCTATGGCAGCATACGTTTCATTACATTCATAATAATGCTAATGGTGATTGTTTATGTTAAGGCAATCAACAAACAAAGATGGTTTAACAAATGTGAAGAAATAATCTTGAATCTGGTAGCACACTCTGGCCTCTTAAGTATTAGTTTATAGAGAGTAACCACGATGAAAGCTGATATTCAACACTGTTTGAAATACCCTATTCTATGTACATCAGATTCAATCCAAAACCCAAATAAGCTCTTGAGAATTGCCCTCACTTCTCTTACTTCTAAAACGCTATAATTTAATTTCCTCCAGTAGATTTCCCTTGTCGCTTCAACCTTCACCTCCAATTACGAAACGTTAAAGTATTTTGTAAGAAAGCTACACATGCTTACCAAAGCTCTGAAAGAAACCATGTTCCAAACCACCAGACTTGCAGCTTATATCTTCGTTTTCTCACTTTGAAAGGCTATTACCCCTTAATTTTTCTCATCAATCACTGACCAAATCCAGAATTTGCACGGGGACTGCAAGGCCAAACGTAATGCGAAACACTTTTCAGACTTCGGTTTTTATTACCTGAGATTCTTCTGTGGTTGTTACTTTTCATGGTGGCCATTTTGCAACAAAATCAAAAAATGTGTTCTTTCTATTCCAATTGAAAAGAGCAGGTAAGTCACTTGGACTCATCATGTGACCTGAAGGACAGAACTTTTCAGTTTTTAATATTTAATGCAAATCAACATAATTATATTTAATAACTCATTATAGAAAGAATCAAACGCCAACCTCAGAATCATTGCTTTTCAGTACTTTGCTGATTGCCTTCTTTAAAATTGCTTAATAGCAATCTCATAAGTGATTTTAGCACCTTGTTGAGACATAAATTAGCATTTTCTACTATATTTTTATATTTAGTAATAACATGGTGTCCTTATTTTATTTATTTTTTTATTGAGCATTTCCTTGTACTCTTCGAGGTTAATTAAATGACAAACTAATACAGATTATCTCCCATTTTACATTTCACACTCAGCTTCTTTTTAATGCTGCATTTTAATGGTGCACTGAACCTGTTTCTGCTGCCTCCCTCCAGCTTAGAGCTCATTGCTTTTTCCTGGAATTCCAGTGCCTATATCTAGACTGGATTAGGGACAATGATATTTAAGATTCTCACCTAAATGTCACAGTCAATGAGTTTGACAAAGTTCACCCCTCACTGAGACGAGAGACACTCTTGGTGGGTTCACATTATCCTGCTCGGCAGACATTTAGAGAACGCTTTGTGTCAGTCGGGGTCTTGTCCTCCACCCAGGGGATGTGACATAATAAAGGGCGAAAATGCAGCTTTACCTGATGAAATCTTATCTGTGCCACCACTCTTTGCTTCCTGCTTTGCCTCCGATGGCAGAATGCCTGCAGTGTGTGCCAGACGAGAGTCCCAGGGCTTCCTGGGCAGAAGGGAGAGAAGGGGTCCAACGGAGCGCATGGAGTAGAAGGCTTGGTGGGAGAAAAGGTAAAAGTAACATGGTAGGCGATCGAGAACAGATGCTGTACATGTTAATCTGACCGCCGTACTGTGCAACATGACACTTTTTAAATGTACTCTCGGGGATGCTTATTGAATCATTTAAGAGCATGGTTGCTTACACCCATATGAATTGTGTCTGTCGATCTTTAACAGGGGGATCCTGGTGTAAGAGGTCCCATGGGTAACCCTGGGAAAGAAGGCCCAAAGGTAGGCGAGTCAATCAGATATGAAGACACTCAGAAGATATCAAAGCACATTTTTTTTCAAGTAATTGTTTGTGCGGATCTAAATTAATTATTCAGTTTCTCCGCATGACAAACAAATCTGTAACACTAATGGACACTAATGGCCTCATTATATGATTTTGTTTACGGAATTGTGCGTAAATCTAATCTATAGATATTTACATTGACATACGTTTAACATAACTCAGGGAGCATAACCAGCTGTTCTTAAACCTGTATTATTCTGTATGTGCCTCGCTACAGAAGTTGTTGCTATGGATACAATGTTCTACCATGATGAAATCGGCTAGGCAATTTTCAAGGGGAAAATACATTTTGAAGTTTATACCCATCAGCCTTTAGTTTTAGGCCTTTTTTATTTTTGGTAAAAAAAACGTGTCTTCCTCCCTCACTGGTTGTGCCTTCCTGCAGGGAGTGAAAGGAGAGAGAGGGTTCGCAGGCCCCACCGGAGATAAAGGTGATGAGGTAAGAGAAAAAAGTTTGAGCAAACCAAATGGATCCGGTAGTTTTATAACAAGCCATTGAGAGTTTGGTTTTTCAAAATAATGTAAATGCATTGTAATGTCTGCCTCCTCTTAAAGCCTGTCTACTCTGAAAGTGTGTTTTCAAAAGACGACGCTATCAAAAGCTCTGCTCAGTCCTACCTCTTGCACTCCAAGGAGCTACTTTATAAAGAACGCAGCCTGCCCCCGTGTGTGTGTGTGTGTGTGTGTGTGTGTGTGTGTGTGTGTGTGTGTGTGTGTGTGTGTCGTGTCTCGTGTCGTCGTGTGTGTGTGTGTGTCGTGTGTGTGTGTGTGTGTGTGTGTGTGTGTGTGTGTGTGTGTGTGTGTGTGCGTGTGCGTGTGCGTGTGTGTGTGCGTGTGCGTGCGCGTGTGTGTGATTGTCGGTGTCTCTGTGTCCACAGTTAATACTGCATACTAAGGGTCTCTAGTGATTGAGTTGAATCACAGTTTTTGTGAACCTATTTTATTGACTTCTCCATATCGTCTTTGACTGCTGACTTCTTTCTATTCTTCACTCAACGTCTAACAGTCATAGAATAATTAGGTATCATTTTAAAACCAGAACATCTGTAGGTTTATTCAATATGAGAATGTGGATGATCCACTTAAGGTAGGCATGATATATGAATAAATCCCCATGTGTGTCATTGACTCTAAATGAGCCGGCAGGAACAATTGAGTGGGATTCAACTCTTCTATTTTAGGTAGATAGTGATACACCAGGCGAAGATCTGCCTCTTTACTTTTCTAGTTTCATCAGATTATTGTTGCTCATTGATTCCTAGAAAGCTGTTCCAGGCATCAACACATTACGACCATTAAATAACATTTTACTCCTTAAGTTTAGTTTAGTCTGTTGTGAAAAAACAATAATACTGCTGGGCCAAGTGCCCACATCACCTATTCCTATATGATGGAAGTATTATAAAAATGTCGATCCACTTTGTGTCCTACAGGGGCTTTCAGGAGCTCCAGGACTTCCTGGAGTGACCGGTCGAACAGGGTCTCAGGTAAGAAGCCTGTCCTGTATGTGTACACAATATCGATTCCATTATTTCATGACACAAAGTACTTATTTATAGTTAAAAGTTTTTATCTCGACAGGCGTAAGTCCTTTTCTCTGCAGTTAACTTTCAACACAGGATGCTGTTCTGTTTGCAGGGGCTTATGGGTAGACCTGGGCCATTGGGGCCACACGGTGGAAAAGGGGAAAGAGTAAGTTGTTTTACTGTTTAAGCATCACATGTGTACACTATATGACTATGTTTGCCAGTTTGCATGCAAAATATTCAGATATGATTAGGTACATTCTTTTTTTTTTTGCTTTTTCCATTAAAATGCATCCGTCATAAATGTTAAAGATTGATTGGCAAAATGTCTATAGGAATTTCTGTAATAAGGATGAAAAAGATAAAGATTCTTTAAATGACTTAATAATTCAGGGATTGTTTTTGCTACATTCGTTTTGTGTGTTTTTCACTCAGGGTTGGCTTATGAGATTCCATATCATTGGATTCTGTTAGAATGGGACTGTGCTTGATAAATATTTCCATTTCCATATTTAACAATTCCTCTGTTATTTGACAGGGAAATGACGGAGTCCAGGGCATGCCAGGGCTTCCAGGGCCACCGGTAAGTTCCTCCTTCCTAAGGAAGAGTTAGATGGTAATAACAAGTCTCAAGAACTCCATAAAGGTCATAGATTCTATTTCACATTACTTGTACGTGTAAATAAATGTGATTGTTTTTTTGTTGCACAAACTATCCTTCTAGCCTTACTATTCAGTTGGCACATTGAACACACTTAATCATCTTGCTTTTCTCAGCACTATCCAAACCCATGATTAAGTAAAGGTTGGAGCCAAAGCGTTGCCTTGGCATCTCTTCCTACAGAAATGGCCATCAGTGCAGTTATATTTTTGCTCAGTACAACAGTATTCACTGTACTAAGGAAAACATAACTGACAAACAAGCACAACTTGAGGAAATTGTAGGGACCTGCTCACTGGCATAGAATCATGCTTGTACCCTTTAAAAGGCCAGTGTGTAAGCACTTTCAAAGGCAGATCTATAATTCATCAGCCGTCCCCTTGAACCTGCGGTGCCCCCCCCCCCCACACCCTGGTCTCATAAACTGCTCTCTGGGAGGACAGGGGATGGCTCAGTGGCCTGAAAAGGGCATAGGCATCCGCTTGCTTCCAAATGAGAACCTTGACTCCTTCTACATGTACTATAGCTGTCCTCTACCAATCTATCATGAGAAAAACACTCTTTATGTTCCACTCCACAATACCCAAGAACACTATAGTTCTCATAGCCGAATCTCTTCTAATCAGTGTGCTCTTTTGTGTTGCGGAAATACTCTGGTTTTCTGAATTAACAGTGGCTAAAGGATTATTAGTTCTACTGTTCTCTGTTTTTTCTCTTCCTTTCACTCCTCACTCTCTCGCCCACTCCATCCCTCTCTTTGTGTTTTCACCAAATGAGCTATTGATCTCTCTCATGTAGCTTTTAAGAGCTTAACAGAGTAGAACTGCTTCAGACCTACTGTACAGCTTTCTATAAAGACTTGTGGTGCCTAAAACTCACAGAGCAGTGAGGAGAGTCTCTGAGAGGAGATGTGTCATTTACTGTGTATTGTGTTTCAGGGTGTACCTTATGTGGAGGGCAATGGGATGAGCAGTCTGTACAAGCTGCAGGTAAAAACTTTTCAAATGGCTCTCATTGTGATCTGTTGTTTGCATGTTCAATCATTTAGCAACAAGAGGAATCTGCGCGTGTGGTTCAAATGTGTTTGACCCTATTTTGTAAGCAGTCATAACAAAAAGGAAAAACACGTCTTTTCAGAGCGGTGGAGCTATGCTGGGACCCCCTGGAGCTCCTGGTGCTCTGGTAAGCATAATCATTGTTATGCCTGAAGCAAATCCTTAACAGTGTGCTGCAGAGGAACGCTAGCACACAGGCACACTGATACTGTATGAGCCAGTGAGAGCTGAATAACAAATAACTTGACCGGCCCTCCAGTGTTATCTCAGCTACTGAGGCACTATCACACTCAATCATGTTCAATGAGAGCTGGTGGTTGGTCGAAGGCCAAGAGGCGTCCTGACTCCCAAACAGGTGTTTCTGACCCGCCCCAGGACACACAATAATCATTGACATGCAGAATGGACTTAGACGTTGAGTCGCTCCGCACAGTGCCGAGCTGAAGTGAGATGATTTGCTTATCAGCTCCCCCCTGCTCCGCCTTATCGGGCCGTTTGTAATCTTGTCCAGTCTCCTGGGAGACGTTCATTCACAGCCCCTGCAGGGATCCATCCAGCACAACGAACACTAAAGGCAGTGACAGAAAAATAGACTTCAATATCCCCTGTGCACAATGCACAAGAACCACAGCTCAATCTTGAGGATGCTTCTCCCTGAACTGCATCTAGCACAGCCCAACAGCTCCCCTGGAGCAAACAATAAGAGAGCATCTTCATCAGTGTTAAGAGGAGAAAAGGCTACATGTGTCATCTTTTCTTGCTTGTTTAATGTAGAAAAACAGGGAATTGCTTCTAAGCATGCCTAACTAAATATCTTTAAAGCTTAATGAGACTGGATTTTATTATCCTGATCATTTTAAACCCTGCTTGAGAAAGACCTCAGTCTCACCAGTCTCATATAAAATGATGTTAGCATGATATACAGACAGAAATGGCAAGATAAGAGCAGCAATGATGTATGCTATAGATTGTAATGACACTGACATACAGTAGCCGCATGATAGTTGAGTCTATCTTAATGATTTGTATGTTGTTAGCTGTTCTTGCATTCATGGGAGTAATCTCTTTTTTTTCTCCTCTCTTTTCAGGGTCCTAGAGGAGATGACGGAGTTGCAGTAAGTTAAAACTTTTTATTCAGGAATATATTTTTGAAAAATGTTCAGTGTTCCCCAAAAAAAATCAGGGTTTCCAGTAGCTTTCCATCATTGTCTCTGTGGTTCTCAGCAAAAGTCAATACATCCTGAAGCCTGAGCACTTAACCACTCTCAGTAGAGCTCCAACACACAGCGAAAAATGATCATACCTCCTGCAAATATGAAACTGTTGCACCATATTTTCTTGCCAGTGGGAACATGTCCTGTCCTCCCCCCCCACAACGATGCCGGAAAACTGTCCACGCAGACATGGAAACAATTCCACACGTCTGCCATCAACTTGAATTCTTTATTCTCGCGGGGCCAATTGCATTTTTATTGTTTTGTTGCCCAGTGATTTTTCACCAGGATGCTAATTTGACATTTTAATAAATTGTGAGAGCGACTCCAGTGCTGTGGTGGAATTGCCCCAATCCGTCTCACAGCTGATCCTCTGGCTGGCCCACTCTCCTCTTAGTCGCACTCGCTTATTCATGACAATCTACATGTGTGACAATTACCTGCACAATCCGTCTATGTCAGCACCGGTTGCCCCTCTTCTCTGTGTAATGGCGTTTCTCCATGGCAGCCGGAGCAAGATGAGGTAGAGAGAGGCCACCACTTGCTCCAACCCTGGGGATGTGGGTCTATTTATAGTGCAGAAAGCCAGTCTGATTGTGATTGCCAAATGGGGCTCTTTTTCCTAGGTGTGACAGCAGGTGTCATATACAATACACTCACTTTGTAGGGTTGTCTTTTTATGATTATCTTCAAATTGGCAACAAAAGGTCATATTAAAGGGGACCTATTATGCAAAATCCACTTTTTCATGTTTTTTATACATAAACATGTGTCCCCTCTGTTTAAAGAGATTCTTAACATTTCAGGAAAAAAGATTCTCTCACTTTTTGTCCTCATCCATTTATATAAAAACCTGAAAATGAGCTGATCAGATTGTCATACCGATTTTTTGGCTTGTGTAACCATTAGCCAATAACCAACCAAGGTGTAGCTTTGATCTATATTTGCATGTTTATGCGTAATGTTTACTGACAGCCTTATAATGATATTTCCTTAGCTCATCACAAAACTCAGTTCCTTATTGAGGACTGTAAGAGAAAAACAGCATTCTGGTACAAAAAGGGGCAACTAACAACCTTTAGTCTATACCAGTAGTGATTGTTTTTGTCTTGACACAGTGGAGGGTGTGTTTCTTTCTCACAGGGGGAACCAGGGGCCATGGGATTACCCGGGCTTGAAGGGCTACCCGGTGCCAAGGTAAGCAACTGTATCGACTCAGAGAAGCGTTTTATCTGCTTTGACCTAACCTTATTACAAAGTGAGGCAAAGTGCTTTCTCTGTACTTAATTCTCATTACAGAGCATTTTAAGAGGGTTTTTTTCTGAAATGAGATATTCAGCAAAAGAACAAAAGAAACAAATGCTTCCAGTATGAACCTGAGCTTCCTGGTATAAGTCAATTTAAGGGAATATAATAATGTTTATAATTCAATCACTTATGGTTGAAAAAAGGATTATGGAAATGCCCGGTTTAGAGCCATTAACTGCACATACAGTAATACCACAGCAATCTCAAGCTACATGTTATAGTTAAGTCTGCACAATGAACTGGACGCATCATTCTTAATGCATTCTAGCCCTGCATCCTCACCCAACCTAAGTCTAAATCTGTATAGAGAAGACACTTACACAAGACACTATTCCTTTAAGACTTAAATGGTTTCTGTATCCATTTATTTGTGTACATTGGGTGTATTAACAGTGTGATATGGGGATCATATTGGTGTTGCATGGGTGTAATATTGGTCTAATAATGACAGTTTAATATGAGTATAAAAACAGTGTTTCATGGGTGTAACATGGGTGTGATAGGTTTTATTAATGTGTAATATGGGTTTAATAGGGTGGAATATCAGTGTATGGGTCTAATAACAGTATAACATTGGTTTAATAACTGTTTATTTGGGTTGTATTAATGTCTAATATGGGTGTAATAATAGTGTAATGTAGTAAACAGGACTCAATTCATTTTCCAAATTATTGATATGGGTCTACTCTACTAACAGTATAACATGGATATAATAAGGGTATAACATGGGTATATTAACTGTTTATTGGGGTTGTATTCATGTGTAATATGGGTGTAATAATAGTGTAATGTAGTAAACAGGACTCAATTCATTTTCCGAAAATTATTGAATGCCCATTTAAGTGTTAAGGAAATACCATCAAGTATTGTTTTTAAGACTTTTTTCCTTGCATTTGTTTGAGGAGTCCAGGAGCATCCATTATAAACATGTTTATGGCGGTTTCTGACACCAGTGTCTGTGCCTACTTGACGATGATGTATGTGTGTTCTTTATGGTATGTGTATGTCATCCATCCATCTCTCCCTCAGGGCGATATTGGTTTGCCTGGTTCGTCTGGAATGATAGGTCCTACAGTGAGTTTTTTCTCTTCTTCTAATTAATTTACAGTGACTCACACTCAATTGTTGACATGTCATCTGTGTTGTTTCACTCTGCTGCTGGCAACAACTTTCATAAAGCCCAAAGAATAACAACCAGCGAAACAGAAGTCCCTTAACACAACACCGCTTGAAACTGGGATATATACGTAGACCCGTAGTCTGTTCCCTGGATATACTGTGAAGCTATAGTAGACTTGTTGGTGTATTGTGAAGCTGAAGCTGCTGTAGATATGACAACATTGAGGACCTGTCAAACACGTCTGTTCTCTTCCTGTGTTGTGATTGACAGGGGAAGCCCGGCACTGATGGAGAGCGAGGGATCCCAGGAGACTCGGTGAGCCTCAGCCTTCTAACTCTCTTTGAGCTGTCAATCCGTGCGTCATTCCTTTGTCACAGCCGACTGACACGTTGGCTGTCTCTGTTCTTCCACAGGGTGAGAGGGGGCCGCTCGGAGAGACAGGATTCCCAGGGCCCGAGGGACCCCAAGGTGTTCCTGTAAGGATGCTACACAAATGATGTTGCTCTCCCCTATATAATCACTGCTCAATGATGCCGAGACAACTACACTTATGTCCAGGCCGGAGCTTCAATAACACACTGCTCTTTTAGCAGGTCATTCTACCATTATATGAGAGAAAAGAGAGCATGATTCAAGGACAATATGGATAAATGTGTGTGTTGGCGATCACTTGTCCTGTATATGATTGCAATCCTCCGTGTAATTAGCATCAGAGATGGTTTCTGTAATTTTCCCTGTAAGCACACAATGGAACAGTGTTCGCACAGCAATCAGGATCATTATCCCTTGGTTGAGATATCTCATTAACTGTGGAGATTACTAGGAGTGCAACAGTGCTGATCCAATCGAAGGTGGGGGCTAATACAAAATGTCTTTGTTTTTCTTTCACTCCTTGAGCAGGGGAGACCTGGAAAAGATGGAACTCATGGAGAAAAGGTGAGTTGTGCAAACACGTTTCAAATCCCCTTATAGACAGTGCTTTACATTCGCAGAGCTACAGAAAGTTGGCACAGCAGATTTGTATCCCCCCACCTCAAGCTACAGCCTCCTGAGTGCATTAAAGCTATTTGCATATTCGAGATTTTAAAGGATAAAAAACAAAGTCAAATCCTGCAGATTCGAGGCTTTGTTGACTTTTAGTCTTTTTACCCTAATTATACAGTTAATGCTTTTAGGCAATGATAAAATGTTTGTAAAAGAGGGAAGCAGACACTTAGATTAAATATGCATTTTCCTGCCTGATGAACCTGGCAAAAATAGAAACAAATACTGCAGCAATGTCTGCTTTTAGCTAGTTAATCAAACATATTAGAGGCGTTTTACTTCACAATCACACAGAATGGGCTCACAGCATGCAGAACACATTTGCCCTGAATAGCCATTACCAGACCATTATACAGTCCAATAGAAAACTGGTTCCACTATGAAAATTACTGTTTTGCTGTGTCTGATTTACAAGATATTTTTTCCCTTTAATGACAACCCCTACAGTTTATTGTTTGCTTATTACTATTAGTTGGTATTCTTCCGCCAGAGTCTCACCATTGCACAAAGCCTTTTACACTTTTATCCTGTTTTCCTGCATTAGTGCCTCATTGTTCCGTGGGACAACAGTGCCATCTAGCAGGCGGCTTTCCCACCTTTCTACCGAGACTCATCGCACAGTACTTTGAGGTTTCATGTAATGCTCATGGAAGCACATTTCACTGGGCAAGATGATAGATTTAAGCCTCCTTTTTAAGGCATTGGGGAATACAGAATAGCACAGATTAAAGCAGGCAGGGGAGAACAGCATCACAGAGAGATGCCCGTTATAAAACGACATCATGCCAGATTGTCTTTTGCAAGGCTCCCATAATTCAGCAGGAAATTGATACAAAGATGCTCCCAGGGGTATTGCTGTGAGCACCGTAAAGGGAAGGAATGAGGAGTGACAGGGAAGGATTGGAAGACACAGGATGTTGTGACATGAAGCCAGAGACAGGTACTTTCTCTGCCAGCTACCCTCATACAGTAGAGGCAGCTGCTGGGATGGCGATGCAGAGAAGCCGTGACATTGCAGAAGGTGAAACACTCTTACAGGGAGATTTTATAAAAGCAATATACCTGAGCTGACTGAGAAGCAATCAATGCACAGTCATCTGAAAAGTCTACATTTCTCAAAGTCAAGTAATTCAGGAAAAGCTTGCTCGAAGTTTTTCTCTCAAGGCAACAGAACAGACAATTCTGCAAATATGATGGTAGATATGAGAAATATGCCAATATGATGGGTTTAAATAATAGAAATCTCTGCTCTGCTTGTATGGATAACAATAAAGGAGAATTATGTTTGCCCTGGCTTAACATCAATACTTTGTCAAGAGTGGGTGAAAAGTTTTAGGGTCAGCAAACTTTCTTTTCCCAATTATTTAGAGGTGTTATCTTTTCTTGTGACTAAACCATGTATCATCTGCTTTTTTTCATAGGGAGTTACAGGTACATCAGGAGACAGAGGATCCAAAGGAGAGCGTGTAAGTAGCGTCATCCCTGATTTCCAAAAAAAAAAACTGTTGGTATGACTCACACTTAAATGCACAACAAAAATGTTGCGATGAATAGTAATGAAAGTCTTCACTTCGGCACAAATATGACTAATCCGCACATAAGAACTAAATAAAGGCATTTAACACTCGGTGCAGTTTTCCATTGTATTTGCAAGGCTAAATTAAAGCGCTCCGTCACACTCAAGCAGTAATCTATTGCAAAATGAGGCTTTTAGCTTTATAATTGGCAACCGTACCTCAGGACAGGTTTTCATCAATATATCATAGGTCTCAGATATATACAAAACATGTCTCTGAGGTGTTTGTCTCGAAATACCAAACAGATCACCCATTGTAGCATCCCATAATCCCCTCTGTTTCAGCCCTGTTTCAAAAGTGCTGATTCTCTGTCTGTTACTTTAGATGTACTAGACTATTAAAAAAAGAAATCATGCTTCAAATAAGTGGGGGTACGGCGTACCCCCGCGTCCAACGCCCACTACACCACTAACTGCAACTACAAAAAGCTAAGGTTTGTTTTCTCATCAGGAAATGCAGACCGGCTCAAACAAAAGATTTTTAAATCATCATCCTCACGATCATTTAATGTATATGTTCGCCGAATTGACATGAAAGCACTAATAAATGTAGTTTCATCCACTTGAGTTTACAACTACAAAAATAATCGATTTGTTTTTATATCACATCCGACGGGAGGAAATTCAGCAGCTCTCACTACCGATTTTTAATCCTAATTTAATCATCATCTTCACCACGATCATTTATGTTTATGTTCGCCGAATTGACATGAAAGCACTGACAAATATGAATATACTGTACTCAACTTCATTAAAACGTTATTAACGTGCCTAAACTCAGTAATTCACCATTTCTACGCATGACAACACACTTTGTCCGTATTTGGCTCTCTCGCCGCACAGTGAAGCGTTCCCGCATTGACGTCACTTCCGGCTTCCCCCAAAACTTCAAAATTAGTCGAAGGAATTTCCCTGCGATGTTCGAAATTTTTGATATTTATCAGAACGGTATCGCACCTTCTTTTTTAAACTGACGGTTCGAGATGACTAGTAGCCCAATATTTCATTGCACAACAGTTGTTGGGATGCTGTCACAGGCTCTTTAAACACGCCCTTAAAGGTGTGAGCTTGAAAAAAGCTTCTCTTTTGAGTTGACAGTGTAATGAACTCAACAAACTCTTCCCCAGGTATTATATTTATACAAATATATTCTCTGTGCCCATTGGTCAAAAGACAAAACCACTTTCAAACTGCATATTTTTAGCCACCAGAAACACAGTAATCAAAGTGTTTAAATGCTTTATGCAATTTGCAGTCATAAACAGTTCCTGTCAGAGTCGTTTCCTGTTAAGCATGGAATGGTTTCGCATAGTAAGTACTACTCAGGCCTATGCATCGGCTTGATTTAAATAAGCATTGTGATTAAGTTGTTGTTCTATACAGCGGGCTGAGGGATGTGGACCAGTCAGTTCCACGAGGGGGAGATGAGGTTCAAGGCTTCCTGGATCCTTCTGCACTCCCCCAATGGCTGTCGGCTCTCATCCGTGTCCACAGCTCACTTAATTGCCTGATTTCCTAACCCCATGTTGAACACTTTCTACAGGGGGGGCTGGGGGTTATAATAATGACTTGTAGTGACATGCAAGTGGAAGACTCGCTCCCACAGCTCTCACAGAGAAGCCCCACCACCAACCATGTAAATCCTATGCAGCACAATTGGTTTGTCATAGACAAAGATGTGGGTCTGTTTTTGCATTCTTATACAACATGCTAGCATTTTTACTGTAAACATTTGAGCATGCTGACTTTAGCATTAGCCTAATGTACAGCTTCACCAGTAGAGCCTACCTAGCATGACACTTAGCCTTTTTGGGTTATTTGAAATTGTAAGATAGCACATCTTTTAACTCTTCTCTGAAATTGTATAGACTCAACAGTTGATCACTTAATCCAGAAAATGGTACATACTTAAAGATTACTACCAGCTCAACTGTAAAGAACAATCTTTAAAATCATGAAAACCTAGAATTGTTTCTTTCTGTGTTGATGTTAGAAAAGATCAGCATCTTGCTGAAAAATGCATAGGTGACATGCAGTTGATTTGAAAAAGCACAAGTGGAGGAACATGACATGGCATTATCCTATGTCCTACTCGTCATCTTGAACAGAGTGTAATGTACTGCATCAAGACTTGGAAAGCACTTTAGATCATACACACTCAGGAGACATGAAAACTGGTCATTGGGGAGTTTTCCATGCTTGTACCATTGTTCACCATTTAAGAATCTCTACACGCAGTGAGGAACTAGAGAGGTGAATGCGCTTGCCTGTGGCCTTTGGATTCCAAAATAAATCTACTGCTTACACTCTCACAGTCATCAGTACTCCTCCATGCACAACACTAATCTATGAGATGGAATGAGACATAGAGAGACTCTGTTAGACAACAGTGTCCTAGGCTTGTTACAAATGTGATTTTGATGTAAAATGACAAGTACAATTTGAAAGCATCCATGTGATTTCATTTCAATTTGCCACCTCCTAGTTTATGAATTTCAACTAGTGAAACCTGTCAGCTATCCATGCAAATAAATCTTAGTCTGATCAGCACATACAAGCCAACACAAACCTTTGAAAGACATTCAAATAGGATTGCCCACTGTTTTTAGTGAGGATTATTCCTCTTTGAACCATTTCACAAAAAAATTGATCAACTGATAATTATTCTTACCTAAAGAGGCATCAATTAGATGGTTAATATACTTTTTTGTTTTAACTTCAGTCACGTCACTACAGATCAAGAAAAGCATCCCGTAGGTCTACCAGAAATAATAATTTAACTTTTGGGGTATGATTTTTTTGGCCAAGAGTTAAATGAGAGGATCAAAATATATGGGATTAGTTTTGTATCATAAAGATAAAGCAACACTTCACGGAAGTTTTTTCCCGTGGTTGGAGAAAAGTTACGGGACACCCTTCACTAACAAATAGTAAAGATTGTCCTGGACTTAAACTATTTCTGGGTGTCCTCGAAAGAGGTGCCTAGTTTCAGATGGACCCGACGATAACGGACGTACGGTACACCCAAAACCCTCACCATTCCTGCGGCCGGTTGTAAGGGACCAGACGGTAAAAATACTTCCCCTCGAGCGTCCGACGGAAGGACAAAGGTCCAGTGACCACCGGAGGAATGAACCCTTGGAACCTGCTCACCAAAAATCTACCCGAAGTTGAGCGTCCCCGGGGTAAACTTGGGAACCTTCTTCGAATGTACTTTACGTGGGACGAGTGAGTTCTTTCACGACGGGCGGCAATGACCGGACCGTACGGCGAGGTTCGGCTAGTCACTGTAAAGATACGCGAATAGAACATGTAGGAGTACGTTGAAGTCAAGCGCGGCTCCCAATTGCCTCACAACGCCTTCGGGTTGGGGAACGAAATATGGATTCCACCAAACCAAAGTACAACTGGGGGTAACTGTAAACTCCGTAAGGAGGCGGCGACACAACGGGAGGCCCTCTTGTCGTCGGCTAAACGATACAGTCCAGGCATCGACGAATGCCGTGAGATAATACCTGTCCTAGTTCTTCTCACAAAGCAGTATTACTGGTTTGAGAAACCACACAGGACCCGATTGGGAGTCTTCCGTTCGGACAATGATCGGTTGCCCGAGAGAGTGACCTAACACCCCCGTTAACGAAACCCGGGCAGAAGTGCTCAGTCCCAGACGTCCGGTGCAAGCCCAAAACGCAACGAGTAAGCTCGAGCACCAGACCGATGTAAGGACCCGAAACAAGTCCCCACCAAAGGTAGGTTTCTGTACAACACGTCGCGCCGCTCGACCAGGGAGCGGCGAGTGAAAACAGGCGAAATGTCTAATCGGCAGAGACGAGGGTCACACCGGGTAACGTCACGACCCGGGGGACGACTCAATCTCGAGATTGACAAATTTAAGGACCACCCCAAACCACTAAAAGCTCTGATTCCGGAGCCCAGACCGTAATGCCCTCGATGTTATAGGGTACACTCTGTTAGTTTGCCTCACAATGCTTTACTCTTGATATTCCAATAAATGCATTGGGGCAAGAGTCCATTGTACTCACTCTACAGAGTGGTCTGCCGGAGGAACGAATACCACTTCGCTCTTCTCCAGGAATAAAAATTTAATACGTACGCCGCAATCGCGTTCCGATGAATATCCCAATGCTAAAGGGACTGCGCGCAGTATAGTGGTCGGTTAGTCCTACACCGCATTACTCTAACTACAAGACAAACGAGGGCGCTACTCCGCCGTAGGGTATCACCTGTAGAGTAAGTACAATGAGACTCTTGACCCCCAATGCATTGCATTGGAATCCAAGAAGACCTCGACAAGATAGGTGCGAGTCTGTCCGTCGTGGCGTGGCGTCGACGGACGTGACATGTTAGCGACGCTCCTGACCCGACAGTGAGTTTTTTGACTCATCGGTTACCCTGGTGGGGACCTTTCCAAGGCGGTGGACCCTCCAAACACAGTTTTAGAGTTTGTTTTTTACTACCCTCGCGTTTTTCCCTTTCGACGTCGCTCCTCGTTTTCAGACCTAGTAACTCTCTTCTTTGTTGTTCCTGACGTTTTTTTGGAGACAAATTTGTTCTCTTTTTCCTCTGAATATCAAATGGTACTAATTGTGTTTACTTAAACAAACGTTGAATATCAAAAAAAAACTTTAAATACAAATAAAACGAAACTGAGTCAAAAAAAAAGAAAAATTTGACATATGA